CAACCCAGGGCCTCACAAGTGCGAGCACTCTACTGCTGAGCTACAACCCCAGCCCCCTGCGCCCTTCTCTTACTCTGGGTGTGGCCTTCCTAGATGTCAGTCAAACTGCTGACAGCTGATATCACATGAAGCTAGACTCAGCCAGCGCCTTGAAACCTGACCCCTTGCCTCATTTTGAATGGCTTCTCCTCAATAAAAGGGGTCAGCACAAGCTCGCTCTCTCTGCAGACCCTTAAGGTCAGAGGAGCTGTCACAGTACCCCAAATAAAAGGTATTTCTGTCTCTTGTGTGGTTATTTCATGCAGTCCAGTTCCCCTGGAGTGACCCCTGAGTGTTTTAGTAGAGAGGAACGTGGCAAGGAACCCTCCCTAAATCTAAGTTCTCAGATACCTGACAACCTTGTAGCTGATTTTTGAAAGGATAACAGTCAAGTTTACTATGCCAGCTCTTTTCTGCACTATTGTGCTATATTATATATTTTTATAATATATATATTTTTTAGGATTTTTGTGTCTAGGCTCACAAGTGAGATTGGTCTATATTTTCCCCTCATAATATTTTTGTTAGATGTAGCAACAAGTTATTTGGCCTTCTAATATAGGTTTGGTAGTGTTCCCTTTTTCTAAACTTGGAAGAAGGATATGTGAAACATTGGTCTTGTTTCTTCCTTAAATGTTTGAATTGAAAAAAAATGTTTTAATTGATACCTAAAGCTTTTTGGATGAGAATTTTTCATTGTGGAAATATTTTTTTTTGTAATTTTTTGGTACTGGGGATTGAACCCAGGGACATTTACCACTGAGCTATATCCCCAGATGTTTTTATTTTTTATTTTGAGATAGCATCTAAGTTGCTTTTTAAAAAATTTTATTAGAATCTTCAGGCTGGAGATGTAGTATAGTGATAGAGCTCTTGTATGAAGCTCTAGGTTTGATCCCTAGCACCACAGAAAATATTTATTCATATTTTCAATATTGTAGATTTGTTCATCGTTTCATTATTTTCTGTCCATTATTTAATTTTTCTACTTTGCAAGGAGGGAGGTTGCTGTATTTCTAACTTATTTAGATGGATGATTAGTTCATTGATCTTTAACTTTTTATAATATATGCATTTAAAGTTATTCCTTCCTTCCTTCCTTCCTTCCTCCCTCCCTCCCTCCC